CCTGGGTAACAAGCAAAACTCCATCTCAAAAAAAAAAAAAAAAGAAAGAAAAAAAGGCAATCTAACATGATACAGTGGGGCGGCCAGGTGCGGTAGCTCATGCCTGTAATCCTAGCACTTTCAGACTGCGAGGTGAGAGGATCACTTGAGCCCAGGATTACTAGAGACCAGCCTGGGCAACAGAGGGAGACCCCGACTCCATTCATTTTTAAAATAATAGGCTGGGCATAGTGGCTCAGACTATAATCCCAGCGTGTCGGGAGGCCAAGCCAGGAGGATCACCTGAGGTCAGGAGTTCAAGACCAACCTGGCCAACATGGTGAAACCCCGTCTCTACTAAAAATACAAAAATTAGCCAGGCATGGTGATGGATACCTGTAATCCCAGCTATTCAGAAGGCTTAGGCAAGAGAATTGCTTGAACCTGGGAGGCAGAGGTTGCAGTGAGCCGAGATCATGCCACTGTACTCCAGCCTGGGCGAAAGAGCGAGACTCGGTCTCAGGGGAAAAAATAAAAGACTTCTGGTTCTGCACTTTAGGTGCCAATCCCACAGAAATACTCACATGTGTGAGTACAAATAGGTTGTAGGATGTTCACTGTGGCACTGTTTGTAAGGGTGAGATATGAAAACAACAGAAATATCCAACAATAGGAAATAGATTAGCTAAAAGGAGATATATTCAGTCTATGGGGTATTACAGCAATCTAAAGAATGAGATATATTCAGTCTATGGGATATTACAGCAATCTAAAGAATGAAGTTGAAGTGGAAAGAGCTCTATGATATACCAGGTATGAAAAAATGTAAGTTCCAGGGCACTATTTATGATTTGCTACCATTTATGAAAAACAAAGCTACATGAATGTATATGTTTATTCGTGTACATAAAAAGATAAAGGCTATAGTCCAAAATTATATTGGGATTATCTCTAGGGAAAAAAGTAGGATGAGACTACAAAGGGATTTTTACTTTTGACTCTCTATAGCTCTGTACTGTTTCTGAAAGTTTAAAATAAAATTTAGAGGCCGGGCGTGGTGGCTCAAGGCTGGGCGCAGTGGCTCACGCCTGTAATCCCAGCACTTTGGGAGGCCTAGGCGGGTGGATCATGAGGTCAAGAGATCAAGACCATCCTGGTCAACATGGTGAAACCCCGTCTCTACTAAAAATACAAAAATTAGCTGGGTGTGGTGGCACGCGCCTGTAGTCCCAGCTACTTGGGAGGCTGAGGCAGGAGAATTGCTTGAACTCAGAAGGTGAAGGTTGCAGTAAGCCAAGATCGTGCCATTGCACTCCAGCCTGGGTAACAAGAGCGAAACTCTGTCTCAAAAAAAAAAAATGTAGGCAGGGCGGGGTGGCTCATGCTTATAATGCCAGCACTTTCGGAGGCTGAGGTGGGCGGATCACCTGAGGTCAGGAGTTCAAGACCAGCCTGACCAACATGGAGAAACCCCGTCTCTACTAAAAATACAAACTTAACCAGGCATGGTGGCACCTGCCTGTAATCCTAGCTACTCAGGAGGCTGAAGCAGGAAAATCACTTGAACCTGGGAGGCAGAGGTTGCGGTGAGCTGAGATCATGCCATTGCACTCCAGCCTGGGCAACAAGAGCAAAACTCCGTCTCAAAAAAAATAAATAAAATGAAATGGAATAAAAACTTATTCCTGCTAGTGCAATGGCTCACACCTGTAATCCTAACACTTTGGGAGGCTGAGATGGGTGGATCGCTTGAGCTCAGGAATTTGAAACCAGTCTGGACAGCATGGCAAAACCCCATCTTTACAAATAATAACAATAATAATACAAAAAATAGCCAGGTATGGTGGTGCACGCCTGTGGTCCCAGCTACTCCGGAGGTTGAGGTGAGAGGATCACTTAATCCCGGGAGGCAGAGGTTGCAGTGAGCTGAGATCGTGCCACGGCACTCCAGCGTGAGCGACAGAGCAAAACCCTGACTAAAAAAAAAAAAAGAAAATGTATTCCTATATTAAAAAGACTTTGGCCAGGCTCAGTGGCTCACACCTGTAATCCCAACACTTTGGGAGGCTGAGGCAGGCAGATCACAACGTCAGGAGTTTGACACCAGCTGGCCAACATGATAAAACCTTGTCTCTACTAAAAATACAAAAATTAGCCGCACATGGTAGTGGGTGCCTGTAGTCCCGGCACTCAGGAGGCTGAGGCAGGAGAATCACTTGACCCCGGGAGGCAGAGGTTGCAGTGAGCCAAGATTGTACCACTTCACTTAGCCTAAGTCAAGGCCGGGTGCAGTGGCTCATGCCTGTAATCCCAGCACTTTGGGAGGCCGAGGTGGGTGGATCACCTAAGGTCAGGAGATCGAGACCAGCCTGATCAACACGGCGAAACCTGATCCCAGCTGGGCACGGTGGCTCACGCCTGTAATCCAAGCACTTTGGAGGCCAAGGCGGGAAGATCACCTGAGGTCAGGAGTTCAAGACCAGCCTGACCAACATGGTGAAACCCTGTCTTAAAAAA